GAAGATGAACAGTGTTAAGACCGATGAGTGTTTTATCCAGCTGGAGATTTTCTGCTGTCTGGGGGGAAGAGGCAGCGGGTTGGCGTGGTGGTCCACTGATGGGAGAGGATTTGGTGGTCCACCCGTCGGGAGGATTTGTCGTCAGAAGGCGTGAAGGAAGGTCTGCAGAGCGGATTAATTTAGTAGACCCGTTTGCTTGCGTAGTTCGCTCTGTCTGCCTTCGGTCGCAGCGATGATTATTGTCACACAATCAATGAATTGTGCTTGTGTAGTGTAACCTGTATATGTACATAGGTATATGGGATGGACAGACAGACACTGGTAGAGCGTACATGAACCTGGTAGGGTTTTCATAAATTTCATGTATTTTTGCCCTTGCTGCTTGTTTGCCCGAAGGCAATCTAGTTGCAGATGCAATTGCCGTTTTAAGCTTTTGGGGACATTTCTGTGTATAGATTGCTGTGTTGGAAATAGCATTCCTATTAAGCCCACGGACACTCTAAAAACTTTGAAATCAAATCTCTTTTAGAACTATTAATGCAGGAGTGTTCCAAATCATTGCTAACATCTAATGCACAACTTGCAGCTTTCCGCTTCAAAGCGTGCTGCTGAAACATTTGCAAATTTTTAAAAGTAATTGTTCACTCGAAGTAAAACTAAACCAAGCGAGAGCTTCAAGGGAAGTTAGATTTTACCGAAATTTGGAATGCTCTTGGGTCAAAGAAAAAAGCTTTTTAATTGCTGACAGTTTGGTGATTTCCAAATGACAAACCTCATTGGAATGATTTTCTCTGATTATAACGTTTGCATTCATTTGACTGGCAAAGCGACTAACAAAGTCATACTTCATCCAGGCACCGATTCTTTTTTTACTTGAAGGTTTTTGTAATTTGTCAGAGGAAAAAAGACTGAAACTATTATCAACCATTATATGTTATTCATTGACCACATGTTTGTTTGAAACGGCCATCGCTTGGTGGAATGCGGGCTATATACATTCTCTTCCATAAATTAGCACTAAAAAACTACCTAAATCAGGTAGGGTTTTGTTGAGCTTGTATTATAATATGAACCAGACTATAACGTGGATGTTACTTTTGCTTTGCATGTTAATTCAGGTCCTGAACCCCGATGGATGGAGCTTGGTACGAACAAAGCCCGCTGACTTAGAGGTGTCCTGCTCACGCACTGAGGCCCTTCGGGCCCCGCTGTGTAATTGTGTTCTTGATTTACATGGACATTCTAATTTTCTTTATAATGTAGTGATTTGCTCCTAAGTATTTTGGCAAGCGCCTGCTATTATTTTCTTCTTGAGCCTGTGATAAAACCTGCGCCCTGGGGGAGCATGTCGGGGAGAATATAGGGGCAGAGGATTGGGAAACCTATTTTAACTCATTTTAAGGGAAAATATTTTCTCATAAAGCAGAGGGGGAAACCCACCACCCCCAGGAAAATAAATAGCAAATCAGTTAAGTGAAAGAATGTGTTTCTAGAATGGGTATCTGTCTAGTGCAGGAATACTGTGGCGTGATGCTTTATTAGAGACGGCACGTTTCTAAGATGCAGTAAGGGATGAGGGGTTTGGGATGGATGTTTAAAATCGCTGTTGGATGCCAAAGGTAAAGTCGTTGCTCTCACGGAATGGCTTCGAATCCTGGAGTAAGTACCATTGAGCAGAGTGATTTCCCGAGCTCTGAAGGGGATGCTTTCAGCAGCCTCAGGAAATGCGTCGGTGGCATGAGAAGGTGAAATGCTTCTCCAACACACACAAACCCGAGCTGCAGCAACCTGGAGCATCTCTAGGAGTTTTTGAGATTTTGGAGTGAATCTTGCAGATGTGCTGCCAGTCCTGGCAGGTGGAGGAGTATTTTCCTCTTTGCTCTTTCTCTCCTTAGGCTTTTGGATTTATGACGCGTGTTGCTCTACAAGCAGAGAAGATGAATCACCACCCGGAATGGTTTAATGTCTACAGCAAGGTAACGTGTTCCCCAGCCCTAGTTACAGGCATGGCAAGTTAAGGAGACCAAACCACTGGCCCTTACTCTCTGCCTTTTTTTGTAGCTTATATACAAGATAAGGCAATGGAAAGCGGTTGTGTCTTTTTAAAGAGATTTGAGATTTTAAAGAGATGCTGAGATATTTGTAGTGGTGAGGAATCAGGAATCAAGCTCTTTGTGATTGCTACCAGCCCCATGGTTTGGACCTGTCGCTTCACCTCTCTGGCTGAGATCTAAAAATGAAATAGAAGCCTTTAAACTCTTATTTGGCCAACCTGAATAAAACGACTGTTTTGAAACTACTCACCAACTCTCATTCCTTTCTGTGCAACAAGTTGGGAGCCCAGCGGTGTAGGGTAGCAGACTGTCAATGTGTAGGTACCTAAAAGGGAGCCTGGCAGTCTCAATTTAAGTTTGATTTTTTAAAAAATTGTAGGCTCCTGTGTCTCAACATAGCAGCTTATAAAATTTGTTTATAATATTACCTAACTGATGGTGGTCTCCTATTTACAAGGGTTACAGGTATACTGCAACCCTCGAATGAAAGGTGCTGTGTGAAAGGGGAAATTATTGCTCTCCCTTTATTTTTATTTTCTAATACTTCTCATTGCATTGTATCGAGTTGTTTTAGCATTTGGCGAATATATGGCAATCCCACTAAAAATATACCAAAAGGACATGTGGACAAGCAGCCTGCGGCTGGGAACCACCACCCCCAGAGCAGGACATCCCCACCTCTCCCCTAGCAGAGACATCCCAGCACAGGCTCCTCCTCAGCAGCCCTTCAGGTCACCCTGTTAAAAGGGACATTGAATGATCAGCGGACAAAGTCTTGATCACCTACTCTTCTTGATTTTCTTGGCTTTCCAGAATATTCAGAATTTATCTTTTTTTTTTTTTCTCTTCTCTCTTCCCAAAATCTCAGTCAAAGGCGAGACGAAGTAACACCCAGCTCGTCATCTGGCTTAGTCTAAACAAACCCGTGCAGGCAGCTGCGTCATAGCAAAATGCACCAGTCCGTTTGTTTTTCTTTTTGAAATTAATCTGCAACAAGCTCAACAATTTTTTCACCTTCAGGGTGCTGGTTTTTAACAAAACGCGTGAGCCCCTGGCTCCGCTGTTGGCAGCTTGGTCACTGGCCCAGGTTCTTCGTGAAACCGATCCGTGGGATTTACGTGTAAAGAATGAGTCATTTAATCGGACACCTCTTCTTGGATGAAATCCAAGAATGCAACGCCTGTTTTATTCTGCGAAGGGGCTCGCTTTGGTTAGACTGCAGGCTCTGTTAAGCCTCCTCACCTCCAGCGTCTTCTGGTTTACGTGAGCAGTGAGCGCCCAGCTCGCTGCTTGCAGGGAGCATCGTTTAAAACCGGTTCACTACAGAGACACGCGGTGTTCCCGTTGAATTGCTGCTCAGCCTACAAAATGGCTTTGTAACCCCTTTCTTCTCCTTTTTGACAGGTTCAGATAACTCTGATTTCCCACGACTGCGGTGGACTGACCAAGAGAGATGTGAAGCTGGCTCAGTTTATTGACAAAGCTGCTGCCTCGGTGTAACAAAGACATAAAACGTTTTAATACAGCGTCCAACCAACATTTTGTGTTTAAATGGAGTCCCTCAATCCTTGTAACCCTGATTTCACAAAACCCCTGGGACAAGATATTTTGTAGAAAGAGTGGCTTAGCTTGCTTTGCCTTTTAGTCCGAGACCCCTCTGGATGCCTGTGCTTGTCCTTTGCTGTTGCTGGCTCTGCCTGAGCATGTAGCAGCAACCAATAAGTTTTGAATAATCCTTTTCTAGAAACTAAAACGAGCTGGAATGAAGCAGGAGCCCACACACACGTGTCGGTGTTCCCCAAGCAAAAAAAAGGACGCCCCCGCCACGAGCCTGCCCTGTGCCCGGCCGCTTCCCTCCTATAGATGTGTACATCTCTGCGCTTCGAACAGCGTAAGAGCAGCTGGGCCGGGTCAGCCCCCTCGGCTTGGTACCCCCACCTCTGCCAGGGACCGGTGGCAGGCGCGAGGGATGCTGGTGAGAGTAGCGCAAGCAGCTGATGATCTTTGCTTGAGGTTGCAGCTCATCCAGCTTTGCATTTTGGTGTTTATTCTCTGCTTATCCGATGGCTCTTCAAACTCACCTGCCCTTTTGGCACCCACAGCCTAGCAGCTCTACCCAGCAAAAGTCTTGCTGCGTGCTTGAGAACCGTTCGCCGTCTGAGATGCAGGGCTGGATCCTCCAGTTGCTGAAAACTTTAGCTCTGGTCCAGCAAATACAAAAAAATCCCAGCGAGCTCCCAGCACTCACATTGTTAAACGAAGCATGTGCTTAAGTGCTTGGCTGGGCTGGGTCAGCG